GTTTACTCAAATTTTTCAAAAAAACAGGAAAAACTCTATAAACAGTTATTATCTCTTAAAGAGATAATAACTGAAATTTCACTGAAATCAGATCATTAGTAAAACAATGGTGATTCAAAATTTCTATTTAATTTCCAGCACACCAAGAAGTGAATTGTTTATATAAGTGTAGCAAAGTAAGATTAAGCAAAATATAAGCTAAGCATCTAAAACTGACAAATTTTTGAATCCCTTTGAAAAAGTTCTGCTTTAAAATGATTTTAGAACTGTTTTTGCATTTAAATAGTAAACAAAGTAAAGTCTATCCAAAATCTAAAATCTATTTATATCTGCTAAAATCTAAAAGCTCTTAAACACTATTATATATCTGCTTCATAAAAGTCATCATATGAAATATTATTAGTAGTTTTAAAAACATTAAATCGTTACGTTTCGAAGCCAGTTGTTTCAAAATCCACTTACAAGAATTATATGATATTTAATAATTTCAAATTTACATTTTTTTGAAGTGTTTTTATTTCTTCCCAAAGCTTATTTCGCATTTTTAAGGTTTCATTTGTGTAATTTTTGTTCGTGAATATTCCACTACCTTTAAATTTTTATGCTTACGATAAGTAATCTTTAGCTTTTTTTATGAAAGTTTAAGAGTTTGAGAAATAAAGTTTGGGGCCTATCCATTTTTACTTGTCCTAAAAAGTAAAAATACGCTTCAATCACCATCTCCTCCGCAATATCAAACTGTTTTTTAAGTGTATTTTGAATGCTTTTGCGCAGTTACTTCATGTTTCAGGGGATAATTCGCCTACTCTGCCGAATTACCCCCTGAAACATGAAGTAACTGCGCCAAAACAGCTATTAAGTTGTTTTGGCGCAATGGTATATGTTCGACGAAAAAAGGAGCAGAATTTAGAAAACATAAACTATTATTTTTATTCTTATTTCCTTTTAACACTTTTACATAACTATAATTTATATTTAAAATACATTTACTTTATTTAAAAAAAAAAAAAAAGTTGAATAATATTTGTTTATAAATTTAATCCGCCTTTTGTAAAAAGGGCAAAAGCGCTTCACTTCTAGCCATCTAGTATATAATATATCATTGTATTAGCGTGATTTGAAAACTTTAGATGTAGAAAATCTTATAACATTATTTCAATCGCTTGAGCGCAAGAATTTTTTTTTTAGATCTTGGAAGGTGCATGTATAAAGAAACTAAATAACTTATATATTTTATGTCAGACCTAAGAACACGGTTGTTATGGGTAATATAACAAAGCGCATTATCTGCAAATATCCAATTTTAGCAGCTTGCTCCTTCCTATGCTCTTGCATGCACATAACTTTTTTTGTAAAAAATCAACGTGTGACTTTGTGGCATTTAATAATAATTATGTTAATTATGTGCAAGTATTGGTCTTTGAAGTTAGTAATGCTTAAAATACAGGTAAAATTTCAAGTTTAACGGGTTTTTTTTTGCCGTGTTAACATACATTCCCTAATATACTAACAGTATTGGTATACCACTTTAACATCTACTATTGTATTGTTACAGCTTAAATTCAAAAGCTCTTTATCAAAAAAAAAAGTTTTTTTGCAAATAATAAAAATCATTTTTTAGAAATAAGATAGTTTTGACAAACTTTTTGAACGAATAAATTACTAGAATTTAATCAAAAAGATTTTTTGTGATAAAAACTGTACACAATGAAACAATATTCAAATATTAGAAATTTTTATTTGACAAGTATTTCAGCGTCCCTGCAACGTCAGGTTCTGTTGAGCGTATCTTTTGTCAGAGTGGATTGATAATGTCCATTTTCAATGCTTGAAACTTAGATGTTTTTTAAATGTAACAAAGACTTATAGGCTATATAGTGACAGTTAATGCTTATGAGTTGATGCTAAAACAAATATCAACTTATCTTTAATTAAAATATGTTAATATTAGTTGTTACTCAGCGGGCATTTGTTTTTACTTCCATAAAGAACGTTTAAAAGACGTTAAAAAAACGTTTAAAAGACATTTAGAACGTAACGTTTAAAAACAAATGCCCGTAGGGTAGCATTAAGCACAAAAATACATAAAAATAAAGAATTACAAGTTTTAAATTTTTATTTTTATGTATTTTTGTTTTCAGCCTTTATATATATCTACAAATAGATTTTCTTATTAATTTTTTTGAATTCTGTGCCTAACCTTGTTCTAATTTTACAACATGTGGTTTTATTGTCAAAGGACTTGCTGCCAGCAATTTTTAATAATATTTGGCCTTAACCTAAGGCCAAAAAATAAGTCTTGAAAATGTCTTGAAAATGTTGGCCTTGAAACTCTTGGCCATAGCCTTGGACTTGAAACTTTTAGCCTCTGCTTTCTCATTGGCCTAGAAACTATTGGGCTTGGCTTTAGCCTTAGAACATGTGGCCTTGGCCTTACCATTTTTGGCTTGTTAACAACTCTGCTTGCCATACTTTCCAAAGTTCGCGTTTGTAACTTATATTAAAATTGATATTAAAAAGTTATTTATTATGAAAAAATTACGGTTTTGACAATTTTTTTTCAAAGTTTAGAAGATTTCACACATTGCAACTCAAAAGTATTATTTCTAATTTTAATTTTTTTTTTTTTTTTTGGTTGTTTTTTATAATTTATAAAAAACACATTCGAATATTTAAGTTACAAATGTAAAATTATTTAAATACATTAAATTATTTTTGAATTCTCCGAGTGGTTGTTTACATTTAGGGGTCGTCCATAAAGTGCGTACGCTATTTTTTCGTCTAATTTTACTCCCCCCCCCCGCATTTTATAATACGCTTTTTTGAGTACCCTCCACCTCCCTAAAAGGACCTACACTTTTAACCTATTTATCTAACATTTTATGATATTTTTTTTATTTAGTGTTTCCTTTTTTTTTATAATTGAACCACTGCCCTGCCATCTCATTTACGCCATTTGTAGACCCCCTCTTCCCCTCCGAACGTTCGTACTTTATAGACGATCCCTTAAAACTTTAAGTTAAATAATTACGAAATTTAGAATAGTTGTAGGACACGGATGCGGCTTATTTTATAATTAGGAGTAATTTCTTACGCTCCCTACGCTCAATTACGTGTATTAAGTTAATTACGTAGAAGTTACGCGTAACTGTCTAAGTGATAACTTGTTCGAAAAACTGCTGCAGCTAAAAACAAATGTGGATGACTGAATGATAATTAAGTATTAATGTAGTATAATAACTAAACATTGTGTAAAAAAATAAGTTTTGAAAATGACTATAAGGGTCGTTTATGAATTACGTTGCAATTTTTGATTGGTTATAATCCCCTTCCTCTCCCTCGTCACAAGAGTTGTATAAGGCGTCACAAAATCACTTATACTCCCCCCTTCCTTTAAGCGTGACGTAATTTTTTGACGATTTCATAGTCGTAAACTTTGGTTAAGTATTTTGTATCTAGTATTTTAAATACTTTAAACTTGTATTTGTATTTAAAATGCTAATAGATAGTAAAGTGGAATATTTTACTACATAACTGCCTTCATATTTGGTCAGAGAAGGCCAAAATTTTGTGTGTATTTTCGTTCCAGCGCCTCCAATATCGCAATTTTTTGCAAAGCCTCCTTATTTGGTAGGCATGAACATACTTTTTTTTTTTCAACTTTTTTTAATTTTTTAAATTTATTTTATCATCAAAAAAAAAATACAATGCCGTGCTTTATATAAATAAAATCTACATGACTGGGGCTAAAAGAAGACAATATTTGCCTTATTATTACGCCACAAATATACTTAAGCACAATATGTGAAAGTATCTTATCTGAAACATCAAACATTTTTGATGATGCCCCTGATTAGTTTACATTAGTATTGTTGAATAAGCCCTTCTTTTTACATAGGAGAGTGCAGCGCCAAACATAACTAAAATTTAGATTTCTACGGCGCTCTCCTTCAAAAATAGAAGGATATTGGTCACCTTAATACATTAGTAATATATTGTAATGTATGTATAATATATTGTATTTGAATCTTTGGTGAAAAAAAGCTAGTTTGTTACCCAAAACTGGATAGCAACTCTTTTTGCACCACAATATTCCTAAACTTCTATAAATCTTTACATAATTGATTACTGCAAATAAAATTGTATTGTGTTGGTTAAGAAATTCGCATTTTTTACGTAGATTTACCTTTAGTTTTTTATTTCTATATATCCTATAGTTTATGTAGGACAATGATTTTTTGACCTAGTTTACACAGCCTGTGTCACATGTCCTAAAAAGAAAATTCTGGCATTCCGGGCTGATATATTGTAATTCCGGTTGGAACCGGAGTGACCTAAAAGTCACAAATTCGGATTTTATTCGAAAAACGGCTATAATAAATCAATGTTTTAATCCACTGATCTCAAAATAATAACAAAAAATAACAAAAATGTTACTATTTTGAGATCAGTGGTTTTAATCACACGCGACTCATGTGCAAATTCCTCAGGGCCGGAAAAAGTGGATTTTTTGGGTTTTTAGGGTTTTTTTTAAAAAACTCAATAAAATAGAATTTCTGTTTTTTTTGTTTTTTTTTGTTTTTACAATTTAAGTTTTGAAAACTGTTATTATGACATTGTCATTTTTTGCTAAAGTTTTAAAATCGAATTTTCTGGAAATCTCCATATTATGACTGTCATGCAGTCATTAATATTTGATTTTTTCACATTGATAATGATATCTAGCATTTAAAAATAAAATCCAAAAAACCCAAAAACCCAATTTCTGAAATAATAAAAAGTAGGTTTTTTCCAGTTCTGAAATTCTCACAAATTCAAAGTTTTTATAATAAAAATACTTTATTATATATATTTTATAGTATTTATAATACTTTAATTTATGTTTTTCAATTGCTCATTATCGAAAACTTTGATTAGACATAATTTAATGTGAATTTTTTGTTGAATAGTTTATAACAATCTGTATCTAAGTAGCATTAAACTCAGATACAGACCTATATTTTTTCAATTTTTTTCATTTTTTTTTTGTTTTGTTAAAAGAAAAAATGGGACGAGCTGAAGCTGAAATTTTTGTTAAAGAACAAATTGATTCAAATTTCATTGTTGTATTTTCAAAAACATATTGTCCATATTGTACAATGGCAAAGAAAGCACTTGATGATGTCAACGCTACTTACACTGTTTTGGAGCTAGAAAACAGAGATGATTGTCAAGATATTCAAGATGTACTGATGGATATGACTGGTGCTCGTACTGTAAGTAATAAAAGACTAATTTAAAAGCAATGAAGATCTAGTTTAAACAAAAAACTAATGAAATTTTGTTTTTGAGATTGTTCAAATCCTTATATGTATTAATAGGATAATTCAGAATTTTTACAAATGTTAAAAAATTAAAAATTTGAATTACAATAGCAAAAATAGCATGTTTACAAGAAAAAAGTATTATGCTACATATTAGTTTTGCTTACAACAGGATTGTGTTGATGTTCATTTCATTTGTTAGTTGTTGAAGCATAAATCATTTTTATTTTTTTTAAACCAAAAAAGAAACTTCATTGTTCCTAGTCATTCATTCTGTTTTACTATGCATGGTATTTTGTGTGATATATACATTATATGAAGTACAAATGTACTATATTTTGTGTATTTTATAAACACTTGACTTTTTTTGTTTTATATTATTTTAATTTTAACCGCTAAGTTTCTTCAGAAAAAAATCCTGCAAGTCACGCTATGCTGTAAAATAAAGTGCTAAAGCTCTAAAGAGCTAGCGTCTCTTGTGTCATCTACTAAAATTCATTCTTGTGTTACTCATCAATCAATAAAATTTCATCCTTTTACTGTTACTATTCCAAAGTGTTTCAAAAACTCCTATTCGTCTAGTTTTTTTCCTCGAACATAGTAAATGACTGAGGCTGGGGCCGGGTTTGATAAAATATAGCCAGGGCAGGGGCTGGATTTGTGGTTGGGTCTGCATAAACATTTATACATCCTAAAGTAAAGATGTTTTTTTTAAATTCATGTTATATTTTGTACATATATACATATATAAACCTCAATATGATCAACATGATCATAATCATCATTACCATCATCATCATTATCATCATTACCACCATCATCATTATCATCATCATCACAATTATTGTCATCATCATTAGCAGCAGGCTTTATCCTTCCTCTTTTATACTGTTTTTCTAATCATGGTCAATGCTCAAACAAGCTATATTCTCTATTACAATAAACCAAAGCTCATGCTTGCTTGGCTTCTTATTAAACAAGTTGCATCTTTTTACTGTATCTTTCCCTAATTATTAATAGTAAATATAAGTATAAAATTATAATATATCAAGAATTATAAATTTTTTTCTAGCCCCAGCTATCAATCCCTGCTAAATCTTATAAATTTGCCAGGGTCGGATTTGCAAAAAAGCCTCCTTTTTAGCTGGGGCCGGGGCCCTAGTCACTTACTACTTGAACATCAGTTCTTTGGAATTTGCTTCCTTCATCTTGCTTTCCTGATTCATATAATTTGCAGTCTTTTAAGTTGTCTGTCAATCTTGCTCTATAAATTTTGTCTTTTCTCTTCCAGTAACTTCCAACTCTAATAGTGGTTGCATGCAGTCCTTGAAAACCTGGAAAAGTCCTAAAATTTGTTAGATCCTGGAAAAGTCCTGGAAAAACAATCCATTTTAGGATTTTAGCTTTTTTCTGAAATAGTTTAATATTTCTTTATTGTGCTTTTATCTTTTACAGAGTTGTTAAAAATTTTGCATAGATTTACATTGAATTTGATAATTATGTATTTTCTGTAATACAAAAAAAAAATGTTACAGTCAGTATCTATCAACTTCTATAAATAACTATATATAAATATATAAATAAATATATATAATATATATAAATATATATATATAATATATATATATATATATATATATATATATATATATATATATATATATATATATATATATATATATATATATATATATATATATATATATATATAAACTATATATAAATATCAACATCTACTAATTATTTAGTTATTTTTCATTTTCATACTTTTTCATAAATCAGAATTTTTTTTTGTTGTTTTTTTCTGATTGAGAAAAGATCACTATATTCTTGAAAATCTCAAAATTTTCCTTGAAAATTACTGGAAATATCATGGAATTTAGAATTTGCTATTGGCTGGTAACTTTGATTAATATTCATGGAAATGTTGTTCTTTATAATGAATTATAACAGTTAAGTGTTTGACAAGTTAAGATGAAAAGTTAAGATGAAAGCTTGTTGAACACATTAATCTTGAGATTTTAGATCCTAAAATAAATTTTACCTACCTTTAAAGCTCTAAATGATTTTAACACTTAATGTCTAATATATTTTAAGCATGCTTTTTCAAATATTGTATGACTTATTTTGTTGCTAACAGCAATCCAAAGGATGCCGACATTTTAAAAAGTTGTCTGCATATTGGGGCTTTGCTTTAAACTGAAGTTAATTTAAGTTTAAGATGATGCCTCACTAAATCAATAATTTTATAAAAAGCATATTGAATTACTATATACTAATAAATCAGATGCTGTGTATTGCATATACAATATGTGTGCGGCTTCTTTTTTTTTTTCCATATGCTCTACATCTAATGAAAACATTTAGAATACAATAAATAGTCACAAGCAAAAAAGCTTAGTTTTGTGGAAATTAATTGATAATCCTCCTTTAAAAAAAGTGTCTTTAAAGCAGCAATTTACAAAAAAAATCTGCTTTTGTATTATATATTTTGTGTTTATACTCACTAACAATTTTAATCTTATAAATTTACATTAGAATTGTTGTATTTTTAGTAAAAATCTGAACACTTCAACTATGGAATTATTAAAATATATAATGAACAAAGTAACAAATACTGAATAGTATGGAGTTATTGAAATCAGGCTACTTATGAAAAATTATGTTTCCTCGTGATTATGGTTTGTGTGTTACTATTAAACTAGGTTTTGGATCATTTTTAAATTATTTATATTACTTTTTTTATACAATGTGTATATTGTTTGTTCAAAAGAATATACTGTAAATCTACTCTTAGCTGCTTAATACACAGGAGGGGGCATTTATTATTTTTTGGAAATTATGCTTTATATAATGACTTTAGTCATTATAATGATAGGATAACAGATATTGCTGGTAAGAAAATAAGAAAACACGTTTGGTATTTAAGCGAAGATTTTTTATTAGATTTTTTCGTTATTTTCTGACTTTGACGAGAAAGAGGCCATGGTTGCAGCTCTGAAATACCACTAATAGAAACTGATCTCAGAGAGTTAATTTAAAATTAGTTGTATAGCTTTGGGAAAAAGTTGTCTGATTATGTCAATCAAAAATCAATCTCTTCACTGCACTTAAAACTGGTTTTAATATCTCGCTACTGTTTCTGTCTAAATAATAACTAGTATGAGTCACCAATGACTATGTTAAGTTAGCAATTTCAATAGTGTGCTAACAATAACACTGGTTGTTTATATTTCAGATTGTTGAATATCACAGAAGTCTTATATATGTTATTTAAAAACTTAAGAATAGAAGTTGATCACCCATTTCTCTTGTGAATACTTTGACAAAATATAGTATTTTTTAATTTTGAAAGTTAACTAGGATGAAAAAATAACAGCTAAAAATAACAAATAACTTACTAATACTAACCTTTCCGTTTTAGGTTCCGTTGTTTCTGTTTTAGTTAAAGACCTCCTGACTATATATGTCAGTAGTAAATAAAAGGAAGCAAGCATTTATTAATTGGAATTTTAAAAAGAAAAGATTTTAAAATTGATTTTACAATTATTCCACAAAAAAAATTTCTGAATTTTTAACTAAAGCATTTTATATTTAAAAAATAGTTGATATTTAATAATATATTGTTTCATTAAAAATTGCTTTTTATTTGACTACAAAAGGAAAAAAAAGGGTCATCAAAGTATTAAATTAATGTTTTATCTTTCCTTTTTTTCTTATTTTTAAAATTTTTTTTTTAGGTTCCTAGAGTATTTATAAACCGCAAGTTTATTGGTGGAGGAACTGATTTAAAAATGCTGCAGGAAAATGGGGAATTGAAAGAACTTGTGAAATCCTAATTTATATTAAAACTATTTTTAATAATAAAATAATTATGAGAACAAATACTTTATCTAAATAGATTTTTTTAATTTTTTTTTTTTTTTCTTTATCATTTTTGAAAGCTGACATTAATTTAGTGGTTGTGAACTGGTATATTGCATTGAGGTGAAAACTAAGCTCTTTTTTAGAAGATTTCAGTTTAAATTATTTTTAATTCAAGATTTTTAAGCCATTCTTTCCAATAGCTTAATAGAAACGGCTAAAAACGATTTAACGCCGCATCTTTTTTTATTTTTTCAACCATTATTATTAAAATTATAATATTTAAAGAGTTTGTGGTTTCAAGGACCGGATCTAGGATTTATTTTATATATATATATATATATATATATATATATATATATATATATATATATATATATATATATATATATATATATATATATATATATATATATATTAAGACTTTTTAAAACAATGTTATGTATTAGTAATAAGCACAAAGTTAAAATATTATTGTAGTTAATATATTATAAGCATTATTAACTAATATACTGATTTTCCCCCATTCTTCTTTTATATATTTGTAAATATTTCTACTAAAATATTTACATATAGCAGGCCTCGATTTTAGGGTCGTCATTCGTCAATGTCGACTTAACTACCGACCTAAAGGTGTTTGAGGCCGGCAAAAAATCGCCGACCTCGTTTCTATGTTTTATGGTAAAAACCTTTGTACCAAATTTTTTTTGACGACCTGATGCCGACCTCTAACAGATGATCTACCTGATTACTTGCATATGGGGTCGTCCATAAATTACGTCACGCACAAGGGGGGGGGGGTTAGTGGTTTTGTGATGATTTGTTGCGAGGGGGAGGGGTATCCGATTTTGTGACGCAACAATTTTTTATATAAATAATGTAAGCATTAGTTGATGATTGTTGTTATAAATGATAATTGTAAGTTGCTAAATAAATATATGGCAGAACTGATTTTTAAATTGTAAGAACGGCTAAGAATTAACAAAATCAAATACTTTGAATATCGGACTACTTTATTTGTCATTAGAAGCAAAAAACTATTCAAATAAACAAAACTTTGAAAAAGGGGTTATCCACAAATTACATCACCTAATTTTCTACCTTTTTGACCCCTTTTCTTTAGTCAAATCATTGTAACTTTTATCACAAAACTGTTATCACAAAACTACTAATCCAATTCCCCTCCCCCCCTCCTATATCCCTAAAGAGTGATGTAATTTACCTCCCGGTTCGGTTCGGTTAACTTAAAAGGTTCGGATAACTCAAAGATTATTTACATTTAATGTTAAAATTATTATATTAAATAATGTAAAGTTTTATTATATTTCATGTAAAAAACTCAAATCAAAAAAAAAAAAAATTTTCCCGCCTATTCGAAGCAATTTTAATTCCCTAACGAGCTGATAGCTCGTTAAGGAATTAAAAATTGTTTTGGATAGGCGGAACCTTCTTAACCGGTGGCTCACTGTGTTGTAATATTTAAAACATATGCGCTTTTAAAAATCAAATTCTACCTATAATCTTCTTTACCTGTTGTTTTATCGTAGTAATTTATTTGTTGTTTTGTCTTTCAAAATCGAATAAAGAATCTTTATTTTTTATTTTTTATTGTTAACAATTTTTTTATAATCAAATTATAAAAATGGATCGAGGCGTTTTATACAAAGAATTATACAAAGGATTTGTAAAAGCTTATGGCCATTCTAAGTCAAAACAAAACTGCGAAAAAGAAATAAAAATCATATGGAATGAAATAAAAAATGATGAAAAACTTCCTGAACAAGTAAAAGAATTATTAAACACATTTTCAAGAAATGCAATGAAAGTAAAAGGAGAGTTGTTTAATTACTGGTCGTCAACTGCAACAAAATCCTCAATTTCTCATGACAAAGAAAACAAATCAAATCTTGTTGAAGGTCAATCAAAAACTTTATTCCACGTAGCTTCTGATGAAATTGATTTTGTAGCAGAACTATCTCAAGTAACCAAATCAAGTACTGCAGATTCAATTGTGCGATGTGCTAAGACAGAGAGAAAAGTTTAAGATTCACTAAAACAAGAAATTAATTTGATTAATGAAGATTTGATTGGGTTGATGAAGAGAAAAGAATGCGGACAGTTAACATCGGCGCAAGAAAATGAGCTTATAGAAAAAAAGAAAAAGAAAAAAGAACTAGAAAAGAACTTAAAGAAGAAAAAAGATTCAATGTTGAGAAGCCGGAAGTTCAGAAGTAATAGGAGGGAAGTCTTAAAAAAGCTATGCAAATCAACTCCATCAGCAAAAAAGACTATCCACCTTCAAATGAAAGTCCACGAATTGAAGAAGAATAACCGGATTTACTAAAAACTATTTGTGACATTGCTCATGAAAAAAGAAGAGATGCTGTTGTTAGAAGTTCAAAAACGTTAAGTGAATTGACTGAAACTTTGAAAGAGGTAATTTGTAGTTTTGAGAATTAGGACTACCGTGAAAAAGTAAATACTTTGACTTTATATTATGCTAAGCAAATTATCTCATTTAGTTAATTATTTTAATAAAACTTTTATTGATGAAGTTGTTTCTTTTTTTAATCGATTTAAGATTTTTTGTCAAGTAGCTATTTAATTTACATTTGATAAGTTTATAGAAAAATAAACGCACCATTTAATTTATCGGTTTTAGGGAAACTAATTTTTATTTTTCAGCTAGGTTTTCAATTTAGTAGAAGCGGTACTTATCTTCGATTGAATCCAAGAAATAGCGCAACTCAAAAAGGGAAGAGGCATATAAAAACTGTCCCAGTTAAGTTAATTAGATCCCAAAATGATAAAAATGCCAAACATATTGATGGGAAATTCTGTACAAAAACAATCAGGCGTCTTGAAGAGATATCATCTCTCCTTGGTCCAAAAGAAGTTTTTTTCCTCAGTCAGGACGACAAAGCCAGGGTAATATAAGTTTTTTTATTTATTTAATTTTTCATATCAAGAAAAATTTAATCTGCATTATTATCACATTGTTATAGGTTCCGATTGGATTGACTGCTGCAAATAAGCAAGCGCCGTTGCTTATGCATATGGAATATAGAGTGACTCTACCAGATCATGACTGGGTTATTGCTAATAAACACAAATTGATCCCATCTGTGTACGTTATTATTGAATACTATTGAAGTGCACCCAGATGGTTTAGGAAAACCGAGTTTCGTAGGTTACTCCGGCCCTACATATATAGCTGTTTGATCTGGAAAACATTCGTCATCGACTGCATTATTTCACACTCTTGATTTTAATAAATTAATTGACTTAAAAGAATTTCAGGATTTTTCTAAAAATAGTTCTTTTGTTAAACCAGTTGTCATCTTGACTGTAGATGGAGATTGGCACCATTAAGTCGTGAAGTTTCAGGCGTGATCCTACCTCATGATCATTATTGAAATCATCTTAACAATGCTGGTTCTACCATAGATAATATTCTTATATTATAGATAAAATAAATTTCCAGTATGCTGGTGAAACTCTTGCGGAAATCTGGTCTAATGTTTCAATTGACAAGTTTTCTGTAGTTGCTGAATTTATTGTTTCAAAAAAATCAGAAATCTTATCTAGTACTTTAAAAATCAAGGACAGCTTCTGGTATGCTCGTCATGTGCAAACAAGCCAGTATTTTCTCCAAATAGTTAAGTGTGAAAATCGGAATTGCTGTAAACAATCAAGAGGATCATATTTTACAGTCATACCTGATCGTTTTTTTCCACCATTGATACCGCTATCAAAACCCCCAGAGGAACGGCTCCAAGTTCCGAACGCATTATGCCATAAAAACCACAAGTTTCCGTCCCTTTTTGTTGGAAAAACCTTAAAGTTAGATGATATTATGTCTGACCTGACAACAGTTTATAGAGTTTTACCTTATGATCTATTTTGTCCATCTGTGCAATCTCTTCTTAAGAGTCGATGTTGCAAAAAATGTTCAATGTATTTTGCATCCAATGTGTTGTTGAAGAGACATGTTACTGTCCATGTAAATTCAAAATCACCAATCGATGCTGCTTCTGACATAATCAGGCAAGTGCCTACTTGTTTGGCTGCTCGTCGTCAAACTGAGCTTATGGCAATAACTTTGTTTGAGGAAAACGGAGAGCATATTGATTGGATTGAAGAAAAAAATGAATTAGATCTATCTAATGTTCAAATCATACCAAAAGAAGATGTAGAAAAAAATCTTTCCTTGTCACTTTACACAATGGATGAATACTTCTGCTCACCTTGGACAAATGCTGAATAATATATTATATGTATGGTAATTTTAAAGACGAATTAGATAAATTTCGTTTGTGAAAAGTTGTTTTTTCTAAATTTTATATTTTTAATTATATTTAAAAAACCTTTGAATGTATTAAAACAAAGGGAAGTAAGTATGCTCACTGTTTATTTGAAAATGCAAAAAACTAAGCGCTATTGTTTAAAAGTTATTGTTTTGATTTTTTTTGTGACGATTTGCTACAAGAAGGAGGAAGTACACAATTTTGTGACGCAGCAATTGTATAGGCGTTGTCCACAAATTACGTCACGCAATTTTTGAGCTTTTTGACTACCTCCCCCTCCCGTCACAACATCGTAATTTTTTAGTAATAAGTGCCATAATTACATAAATTTGAATGGGTTGTTAATAAACATAATTTATTAACAACCCATTGTAAATAAAGGGGCTCTAAATATATGCTAAACACTCCCAAGATTGGGCTTATGTAGCTTAATCACCATCATTAATGTACCATATAATTTTTTTTTTGAACAAAAAAAAACTTAAAGTCTAGGTTGGTGGGCGTAAAACTTCAGAATTGAAAAACTGTTGGAGATGTTTATTTGGCAACATTTCAAATTAAACAAAAAAAATCAAAGTTTTGCATATCTTGCTCCTCAGCCGTTGATCTGTTCACGAGACTAATTTGACGGTTTATTAAATCCAAAATTGTAAAAAACTGCGTGACGTAATTTGTGGACGACCCCTATGCTAATATCCTAATATAGACTTTTCAAACATAAAAATGTTTGAAATTTGTTATATTTATTATAACTTCAACAAGAACTGCCTTAGGCTAAACTATTCATATTTAATGACTTTTCAAAAATAAAAATATCAATATCGTATCTAGAATTTTGAAAATAAAAATATCGTATCTAGTATTTTGAAAACATCATCATTCACCAAAAATTTTTTTTTTTCTTTTTTTAGAAAAACCGATTCCCCTCACATTTGGGCGGGTGATGCCTGTTTTTAGGGTTTTTTTGTTCCCAGGCTCTAATCAGCGTAATTATTGGCAAATCATCCTTAGATGACTAAAGTACAAAATACAAAAATTTGGAGTTTAGAATTTACCTGGAAATCAAATATCGAAAAATCCTGGATCCGCCCCTAATTTGGTATACCTTTTCATTTTCACTTAAAGAATTATTGGCTGCAGCCTGTCGAATAGCCATACCAAAATAATTTTTTTTTCTATTAACTGCGCATTCTGTCAATTTTCCTTTTCCAGTTAACCGAATACCATGATGTTTATCTTTTTTTGGTTATTTAGTCTTGCAACAATGCCCTTCTGGATATGACTAACACACTCTAACTTATTCGGTTTGATTTGAAACTTTCCATATGGATTACTGTTAAGAACATCAATGTTCTTAACAGTAATCCATATGGAAAGTTTAAGAATGCAGAGGAATCCCCATCTTCCAAATAATATTTATAAATCAAAATTTTTTTTCTACAAAGCGATTAAATATCTTTACAACTGCAGCACTTTCCATTGTCCCTGATGATGCTGTATGATTTAAGGAGCGAATATGATTAGCCTTCCATTGAGTATAACCTGATAACTCTACTTTTTTTTCCACATTCTACATCCCCTACTTGCAAAAGACTTCAAAATCAATACATCGCTCTTCTGAAATTGTGGTCACCACACCATTCAGTGAAGTATGTCCGCGATTTTGCCATCAGCCAAGTATTTTAAATACGTTAGTTACAATATAACTAATAACATAATATAATTATTAGTGTTGAAATATAACGCATTATATCAAAGATTAACAATAATTTAAAAGTATTAAAATTTTTCAACAAAAAATTAAATTAAGTCCTTTGCCAATATCACGGAAAGCAATAACCATTCTAAGGTTGATACCAAAATAGTTTCTGCCTTGTTTTGGTACAGCTTTTTTAACATTATCAGATATACATATGCAATATTGAAACTTACATTTGGTACATTTAAAATCCAACTTGTGAGAAAATCCACTTCGTTTATCGTTGTCACCTGTAACAACAATACAACTGTTACATTCTGGACAACTGCCAATATTATTAATAATTTTTTTTTAAATTGAGAAGTTTATCATAATGTTATAATTTTCTGCATTACTATTATTATCAACTTTTGCTAAAGAAACTTTGCTGGCTCTAATTGAAACATGCTCAACATTTTTGTCTTCTGGAGTAGGTGTTTTTTTCCTCAAAATGCTCTTTTTCTTTTTAAATTTATTATTTTTTTGCTTCGCATTATATTTTCCAATATAATTTCTAATATTCTAAATGTATATAATATAAAACCGATAAATTATACTAAATAGTATAAATAACACTAAATTATACTAAATAGTATAAATAAGTTAAATAAAAAAATAAAGTTATGATTATGATTATGTTCAGTGTCATAAAAAAGTAAGAAAAATGTTATAATCTTCTATATAATATTGCCGAACTTAATAGATTTAAGGTGAGTTTCTACTCTTCCGTTTTTCTACGGAAACGGGATAGGAAAGGGAAAAATAATCACTTGAGCATGCGCAGTTTTACTTCGGACAAATTAAAACTTATAATACGCATGCCCACGTCATTATTTTTCCCTTCCCTCACCTTTAATAGTAGTAGTAGTGTCCCTTGGAGCGTATTTGACACGAAACCCTTGGCAGCCATTGCAACCGAGGTAGTGGCGAGTGAGAGTGAGAGTGAAAGGTGACAGGTTGAAAGTTTGACAGGTGACAGGTGAAAGGTATAAAGTTTGAAAGGTGACAGGTTGAAAGGTGAGGTGAAAGGTTTCACCTGACTCTCCGGTCAGGTGAAACTTTTTACACGTTTCAAGCAGGTATTTAGACAGGTATCCAATTGGCGATTTACGTAACGTTACCATAACATTTAAAGTTTATTAAGGTTAATTATAATAGAAATTTTTATTTTTCTTTAATTTAAGAAGGAAACAATAATGACAGTTTTTCTACATACATATAGCTTTTTTTCTACAGCTCACTACAAAATATTGAAGTAAGGAATAAGTATAGAAAAAGGCGATGTGGAATAAATTTATAATTTATGTGGAATAAATTTGGAATAAGGTGATGTGGAATAAATTTACCAAGACCCGAAAAATAAATCTAATTATAAGTCATTTATAAGCTCTAGCGTACAAGGAACAGTTTCATGCTATATGTATTATATAGTGGTTTTTCATTTTAAATATTTTTGAGGGCCCCGGAAATAAATTCAGCCTAGGCTTCCCAAAGGGTTTATATCTGGCCCTGGTTGTGAGAAGAAATTCTTTTTACAAAACTTTTATTTTATATTTGAGAAGCATCAACAGCACTTGTAACGTATTTTGCCAAAGCATGTGCGTCACAAATAACAACTTACCGAAAATAAAATAAGACACTTTTCTTACCCTTAACAAATTCAAAACCAATAAAAGAGTCAAATGAAATTGTTTTCGAATCCTTTTAGAATTTTATGTATACATTACAAATCTGTTTATATTAAAATTTGAGCTGCTTTTACGAGATTTTTAATCAATTTTTATTTTAGCCTTTAATTAAAATATATATTTTTATTTTGGTATGAAAATATGGTAAAGGACAAAATTTTAGTCTTTACCATTAAAAAGATATAAATATACTTTTTAGATTAAAGGCTAAAATAATTCATGTATATATGAATTTTAATCTTTGATCAAGCTGCGCGGATTTTAATTTAAACAGATTTGTAATAAAAAGTTTTGCAGTACTGTAAAACTTTGTAAAAGTTATGAAGTTGTCATCAATTAAAATTACTAGTAATTTTAGAATAAACAAAAATGATTTGGTTAACACAATGAAATTCAGGATTCTTTAATTAATAATTACTGAAAAACTATTCGTTGAAGTAATTGCTGAAATATTGCAGCAAGCTGAAGTATACTTCAATTAACTTTCCTGTTTGTTTAAATACAAGCTCTAGCTTATAATTTAATTTTCCTGTTTGTTTAAATACAAGCTCTAGCTTATAATTTAATTTCAGTTCATGAATACATTGTTTAACGTGGTCAAAAACTAAATGTTATTTGAGAGTCTTTAAAGATTGCGGAGGTTTTTTTTAAGTTTAATTTTGAAAAACTTCTCTATTTCCAAAGCCACCTTTGACAACATTAATAATAATAATAATAATAATAACAATAATAGCAATAATAATAATAAATAAAAATTTTCTTAGTTGCTAATTGATGTCTTTTGGTGAAAAAAGAACCTTACTATTTTTTTTTTTTTTTAATTTAGATGAGGTCTTGAGGGTCCTCTTTGGATTCTAAATTTATGACGGGTCTTAATATTGTTGAATATTTTTTTCTTCTAAACTATATCAACCTGGTACTCAAAAGAAGCAGAATAATATGCTGATTTTGAAAACAATCTTTGTATTAGATAAAAAATAAAAAATAAAAAAAGGAATTGGTTTTTTTTATAAAAAAAACCTCGTTTTGTCTTCGACAAAAGGTTTTAAGGTATTTTTTGCAAATATTTTTCTCATTATAAAATTTTTAAAAATAATATTATTATTTATAAAACAAGCATTTTCTTCTGCTTTTTTTGAGTCCAATGTTAATATGGTTTTGAAAAAAAAAATTCAAAAGATAAGAGTAAAAAAATATTTTTTGATTTTGATGAGATCTTGAGGTTCCTCTTTGGATTCTAAATTCTTGACAGGTCCTAATATTTTTGTTATTATTATTAATAAAATTTACTTTCATTTTATAATTAATAGACATCGATTCGTGTCTCAGGAATATTGATTTTTAAATTTATTATTTTTTTGCTATGAAAATCGTTCTACTGCTATGAAAATCGTTCTACTGTTATTTTTTGTTACTGAAATTTTTGTATGTATCTTGGGTAATGACCTTGGTCAAGCCGTCCCAAATAACTAACAGTTCCCATATTTCAAACGTAAATACGGTTTAAACACTAAAATTGGTTTAGTTAAATAAGCATCTAACAGTATTAAAAATTAATTGAAGCAAATATTCTTTTAGATTTACTTGACTTGATTTGACTTCAATTTTTATTTTTACATGATCTATTCATTTTTGCAAACCCACGTTCGTATGCACATACTTATCAATTTTTTACATTCAACAACCTTTGTAAGATATTGAAAATAAAAAAAAGCGCATTCGTAAAATACGCTCGTTAGATTCTAACTAGCATTACGAACATAGGAGCAAAAACTAGTTTTTAAAATAAAATCAGTTATTGTTTTTAGTTAAAATCAGCTAAGTTTACTAAGTTTACAAAATTTTAGATAAGTGTTTTTACTAAATTATATATATATATATATATATATATATATATATATATATATATATATATATATATATATATATATATATATATATATATATATATATATATATATATATATATATATATATATATATATATATATATATATGTATATATATATATACATATATATATATATATATATATATATATATATATATATATATATATATATATATATATATATATATATATATATATATATATATATATATATATCACTCTAGTTATAGTGAAAATGGGCCGAGCTGAAGCTGAAATCTTTGTTAAAGAACAAATTGAATCAAATTTCATATTTGTTTTTTCAATGACATTTTGTCCGTACTGTACAATGGCAAAGAAAGCGCTTGATGCTGTCAATGCTACTTACACGGTTTTGGAGATAGAAGACAGAGTTGATTGTGAGGATATACAAGATGTGCTGGAGGAAATGACTGGAGCTCGCACTGTAAGTATAGACTTATTTCATAGCAATCAAATAAAGTATAAACACATATTCGTTTTTTTATTATTTAATTTTTGTTAAATAAAAAATTAATGTAAAAATAAACCAAATTTAATGACTTAAAATGAAAACAAATTTATCTAAGTGCAAAAAAGTTAGGTAAATCTTCAGTACATACATCAACTATTTTATAGCCTGTTGTCACAAGGAGTGCCATTGCATCGACTGAAGGTTTGGCATAGAGCAACATTCTTTTTTCTTTCATTATTGAAATAAATGCTGCCCCATGCCAAACCCTCAGTCAATTTTAGAGGTACTCCTTTGTTGCAGCAGGCTATATATATAGTTGATGTATGTACTGAAACCAATAACACATCGTGCCAAAAAAGACATAACATCATTTTGTTACCTGCAAAATGTCTGTTATTTTTATGTAACCGAAGCATAGAAATTCATATAACAATACGTAACTTTGTAACATAACGCTACGTGCAAAATATCCATTATTTAAAAAAAAATCTAGATATAAGACAAAAATAAAAACATCTAAAAAAAATAAATACATATAAGTAAATTAAAATATATTTTTTTTAAAGGTAATCTCAATTGGTTACACTTTTTTAAAAAAAAAAGAGTAATGAAACATTTTAAAATATTTCAATTACATCTTAAGTCTTGAAGTTTTAGGTTACATTACTTCTTGATTGGTTACATTATTATAGGTAATAAAACAAATAATTAGTTAATTATTTGTAAATAATAATTTTTGTATAATAAATAATGTTAATAATAATTTTAATCATAATTTTAATAATGTTAATAATAAGCTTATTGTTTGTTTTATTACTTTTAAAAGTGTAACCAATCAAAGCATAATGCAATATTAAATTTATCAGACTTGAGACATAATTTAAGTATATTAAAATAATCTTTTTTATGTTGCATTATGTCTCATTTTTATTTTTTTAAATTCTTTTTAAGTGTAACCAATTGAGATGTAACATAACATTAAAAAAAATCTATATTTGAGACATATTTTGTTAATGTATGATATCTAGATTTTTTACGTTACGTTAAGTTTTTTTATTTAAAAAAAAAAAACAATAAATTGAGACAATGTTGCAAATTAAAACTTTTTTTTTCTGTGACAAAGTAACCAATTGACACAAAGCTGTTTAACAATAGAAATAAAATAAAAGGTGATAGTTAGCTATACAAAAATGATTAAAAATAATAATTATCAAGTTTATTTACTTAAAATAATATGCATTATCAAGTTTATTTACTTAATATTTATCTAAAATTTGAGAATGTAACCTAGTTACCAATTCTAACCAATTAAGACGTAACGTAACTTTAAAATGTTATGGGGATGTTGTTTGTTTAAACACTATGTAATTTAAAGATTAAAAAAAAAAAAGTTAAGGAAAAGAAAAAAAAATTACTAAAGATCCAAAAAAATTGTGTGGTAATTTAAAAATCAACCAATAAAAAATTATAATAAAGCTATTTGTGCATTACATAAAACATTAAAATTAATTTTTGTTTAACTTTGAGGAATTGTTTATTTTAAATTTAAATCTTTTAAAATAGAAATTAAATGATTGATAATAAAAATAGTAATAAAAAATATATATTTTTTTAATTATTTAAACAAAAACTTGGAAGAAGTAGTCTTTTTGTGACTTTCAAATCAAAATTAAAATCAAGGGAGTTTAAAAATATATAAAAACCAGGGATGCAATCCTAAAATAGACTCCTATTTTAGGATTGCATCCCTGGTTTTTATATATTTTTAAACTCCCTTGATTTTAATTTTGTATATGTCTAGCCATTCCAGACGATTTTTTTATTAATCAAATATTAAAATATAATTGATGTCATTGTATAGAGCTTGCCTTGACTTAAAAAATGAGGGGTCATTCATCCTTTGAAGTTAAGCGGATCAAAAGTTATTGAACTTTTTGTAGTGGAAAAATTAATGATTTTTTGACAAAAGGTATAGGACTTAAGTATGGAAAATTTGCTGTGTCAAGGCAACAAAAATGATAGTATTATTGACTTTAGAACAACTTTTGAACCGTTAATATATTTGACTTGAAATTTTCCATAGTGACCCACCAACAATAAGAAAATAAAATTCCAAGATTTTTTTAAAAAAATCTGTCGACAATGACCAGAATTGTTTATTTTACAGACTGAGGGTATTTACTAATTTATATATTTTTGGGGTCTAACTAACTTTTGAATAACTTTTGAACCGTTAATACATTTGATTTGAAATTTTTCATAGTGACCGCCAGTGAAATAATCGCATAAATTACAGATCGGTCTGTAAATTGCTGAAAATGGGGTGTACAAACAAGTTAAACATATCATCTTTAAATAGTTTGATATTTTTTTAAGTTTTTTGATATTTTTGAACCATTATGACATTTGACTTGAAATTTTGAATAGTGATCCAGTTTTTATTAAATCTGTCAGGGTTATCCAGAATCCTTTATTTTACTGAAGGGTTTCTACTGATTTAATTGTGCTGAGGAAAAAAATTAGGGTTACACTATACAAATATGCATAGAGAATCATGGAGTCCAAAAAAACATCATTTGAAAAATATTTTATAATTTAAAGACCTGTCAGTGAAATTATTGCATAACTTACAGACCGGTCAGTAAATTACAGAAAAAGGAATGTACAAACCAATACATTTGATTTTTTTGAACTACATTTGATTTTAAATTTTAAATAGTGATCCATTTTTTATCAAATCTGTTGGGATCACACAGAATCATTTATTTTACAGACTGGAGTTTTTTAACTTATTTAGTTATGTAATTAAGAACAAATATTAAGGTTACAATATGCAAATATGCATAAAGGAATCATGGAATCTAAAAAAATACATCATTTTGAAATTATTGCATAATTTACAGACCGGTCAGTAAATTACTGCAAAAGGGTTGCACAAACCAATTAGGCAAATTGACTTTGAATATATTTTATAAATTCCAACTATATTATTACGTTTGAATTAATTTCCAATTATTATTACGTTTAAAATTTTCGATAGAGTTACAAAACTATTAGAAAATTAAATGCCATAATATTTTTTCATTTTCCGGTATTATGAATAATCATTAATTTTACAGACTTTTTACTGTGTTTTTACTTATTTTCCTAGTCTTGGAGAATAAAACTTGAGTTACGTTGTAAAAAATCCATGCAAATATGCATAAAGGATTGTAGAATCCAATTAGTTCATCTGTTTAAAACTATTGCTTAATTTACAGACCGATTAGTAAATTATTGCATAAGGACATTGAAATCTTTCTGAAACATTCAGAATTACCTATTTAATAGACAAGATTCATTTATAAAGTTATAATTTAAATTTAAATGAAAATAACTTACAGCAATAGAACTTCATGAAATTTTTAGTACTTACATCAGCAATAGCAGATGTAACAGCAGAAACTCTCCCTAAAAATGTGATAAAATTATTATTAAAAACACAGATACACAATAATTTTAAAAAAATATTTGTTAATTCGCTTTAAAAATTAAAAAAAAAAAAAAAAAATTATAAATTAACAATTAAAACTAAATAAATATAAAATAAGAAACTTTCTCTTTGAGAATGTTTATGTGAACTATTGACAACACCTAAGATTAAAAAAACAAAAACAACATTAAAACAAAAAATGTTGCTATTATACAACTTATCTCTTGGCTTTTAGTGAATGATTAGAAGTATCAAGTTTCAGTAATGAAACAACCTAATAATCATTTTTAACAATAGATACCAGCAAGAAGGTAAGCCAAGTTGTCTATCAACACAAAACATCACAACAATAACATCACAAAACATACAGAACACTAATGTCGATACTTAGCAAACAAGGTTAACTTCTATCCTCAGCCCTTTACAGTTTCTAACCAACATTAATGATCATCCTGAAAAGCTCACAGGTGAAAAGCAACATTAATGATCATTCTATAAAGCTCACAGGTGAAAAGCAACATTAATGATCATTCTGAAAAGCTCACAGCTGGCTTTATTTGTTGATGACATAAGAAACGTGGATTTGAATCATCTCGATTTAGAGCTGACTTGTTAACTGGTGATAGTTTTCTGACCAGTTTCTGTTAACTGTCGTTACAGAAAGGTTTGAAAATATAATTAGATAGAGGCGGTGAGGCACATTCTATTGCTCTGGATGATATGGTGTATCTGGCGAAGTCTTTAAAAAGTCTTTGCAATTTTGTTGATATTCCTATATTGATAAATGTCAACATTTTTACTGTGTCTTCTATTTTACATCGTCTCTGATTATCTTTTTGTACTGACCTCTCATGGAAACTTTATATACAAATCATTGCTAAGTTAGTATTTGTATACGATAATATAGTAATTTATTGCTCCTAGGTGCTCTAAAAAATTATTTGTCTAGTTTTTTCCTTGAACATCAATTTTTTGTAATACTCTCCATTTATCTTGTTTTCCTGATTTATATAATTTGCAATCTTTTTAGTTGTCCGTTAATTGTTACCTTGCTTTATAATCTTCATCATGGATCTTCCAGTAGCTGCTAACTCTAAAAGTGGTTGCTTCCATCCTTGTTGGAAATACAGATAGTTAAAAAAAAAAAGTCTCACAAAATTAAACAATGTTGATGATTTGCTACCTTCTGTTAATTGTTCTATCCCTACTTCTAGTCAAACATCTTCTGACACAAATTCTAGAGAGTTTATTCAAGAAGATGTTTCTGCTTCTAAAAGTTTATTTTCTGATTTAAACTTGAAAACTGCTAATGATGTTTTTTCAAGCTCTGTTACTCAAACTTCTATAACAAGTCTTTATCAAGTTATTCTAATGATTGTCTTCTTGAAACTTAAGTTTATGGATAGATTTTCCCAGTTTCCAATTTGGATCACCAACTAACTTTATTATCTGGTGATTTGATTAATCACCTCAAAATTCCTGAATTAATCAACCTTATTTT